TGAGGAGATTTGATAATGGGAAGTCCATTTTTTGTGAAATTAGATTGCTATTAGAATCAACCGTTTGATTCTATTTTTGTACTAGGAAATGTAATGTTGTGGTGCAGCATACGTAATCTGATTTAGTAGTGTAATAATTATGAAGGCAATAGCGTGAAGAAACTACAATGCTCAAGGAGAAACCATGTTTCTTTATTAACAAAAAAAGAAAAAAAAGATTCATGAAGAAAGCATTTGTGACACTTTTGGTGACAAAATTGCCGTTTTATAGAAATTAACATCGCCTTTCATATTAAAAAAAAAAAAACAAATTATAGGGAGATTCTACGGTACGTTACGTAACTATTCCGTCGGGATTTGTAACTGTTAGATTAACTATTCACGACGGTAACATAATAATCTAACGGTTACGAATCCAGACGGAATAGTTACGTAACATGTAGAATTTCACGAAATTATAATAAATATTCTCACATTTTGTGACCAAAAATGTGTGACCTTCCAATTATTTAGAAAAAGTTGGACTTCTCTTCTAATGTCTTTAACAAATTTTAATTTCAAATACATTTTAGAATCTAAAATAAAATGAATATCCCTTCACAAGTCTTAAAAAATCTAAAAAAAAAAAGTCTAAGAGCATCTACAATGCATTGGGTCTAGTCTTGTATATATGACACGTAAATAAACCTAAGTCTTGAATGACATGAATAAAACTATGTAAAATTATCAAAACTCATTTTTTTTTTGGTACAGGGACCTTCCGGTTTCCGGATCTACAGGGGAACCGACTAATCCGGAATCGAGCCGGGTAGGACCACAAGCACGGCAAAGCTCTCCCTCAAGAGTTTTATCACTGCTGCATTCCCAGGGCTCGAACAAAACTCATTTTAATGCAAAGAGACTAGTTCTTTGCTGGGTTTAAAATAAACTTAAGGGTAGTCAGGGGGCGGACCCACATAGGGGCCCACAGGGGCCATGCCCCTGTAGAATTAAGAGGGCTTATATATCTAAGAAATAATAATAAAAAAAAAGAGAGAGAGAAAGAATGAATAAATGTCCAATAATGATGGATAAAAAATTAAAACTAGTAGCTCTTAAATGAACTTTTATGAAATATCATTAGAATTTGGAATAGTAATTCATAACTAGATGATTTTTATATATCTTTAATTTTAGTTATTTTTTAAAAGAAAAATGATAGTTGTATGTAATAAGTTGGATTGTTGATTTGAACGATTTGGCTGATTAAACTAGCTCTTATAAATGGATCTATTTACTAATCATCTAGGTTCGGGTATTCCATAAATATTATTTAGCTAACTTAGGTATTTTAATATCACTTTTACTAATATAAGCCTTTAATTTTTTGTAATTTTAATAGTGAGGCAATAAGTGACTAATATATCCCTGAATTTTGATTTGTTTCCTTCAATAAGCTATTGAATTATAAATGTATTATAAAAGTTGATAACTTTTGTATTTCTTATCGGTTTTACATATATAATATATCAAATTAATCAACTTTTGATGATCTTCGATTTGACATCCATATTGTATATATGAAATAAATAAATTATATTTATCTTTATAATAATAAAAAATAATAATATTTATTAAAATTCATTAGAA